TTACAGAAAGGTGACATCTTTTTATATGCATCGATGTCATAATTTACTTAACGTCAATCAATTCTTTCATATATGTGAGGGGCATGACGATATAATCAATAAATCAGTCAATCGTGACCATTGATATCACTCACCCCAAATTGTCAGGATCATCTGGGTCTCTAACGGTACCTGGCCTCCATGGCTGCTCTCGGCCTGGACCACTGTAATTATAAGAAACACAAGGAGCACCTCTGTCTTGCATTCAGCCTAACTACTCTAATCATGTTACTCAACAACTCTCAACAAGCTACCGTAGTAGCGGGGTTACGAGAACAGAGGGTCTTCTTACGTCCAGGACCCCATATGCCACCCGGCTACGTATCCCCCTGTGCAATCCCTACCCTCCTGCGTGGAAATAACGAGGGTATAAAAGAGTCTTTCACACGTCAGCTGGCTACAGCCGGGCCCACATGTCCCGGTAGCCCTTACGCTGTCCGTAACTCACATAAAGGGGGCCTTGTGACGCCCGGGCCCGCCGAGGCCTGGAATACGTAACCCTCATGCGCAATGAATTGCCATGGCTCTCCTCCTCACATTACATGTATCTAGGTGCGGACACGTAGCCTGCCCCTGGAACGCCCCGCCCTCACAATGAACGAGGGTAACAGGAGTCTTTCAACGCGGTGGGCTCAGAAAACCCAGACGCGGGGTCCTTACACTGATCGACCGGCCCGCACGATGAATCCTGGTGGACGGTGCATCCAGCGTGGTGGGCAGGACGGATCTAGATGCTGAGCGTTTCCCCCGACGTGCTGGGCCAACCATTCCTGAGGTGCCGGGCACAGCCACCGACCAGACGGCCCTACGCGCCCTTAAATTGGCCCAGAGCTCTTACGACCGTAACGTAACTCCAAGTGAGATAAATATGGCTGGCCTTTTACACGTGTCCAGACGCCATCTCCGGCACAACAAAGACTAGCAACCTGCCACGTATCCTCCATGCGCTAAGGAGCTCTTCCAACGCCGGCCCAGCCGGACGTAGCTCCCGATTAGTGAAGGAAGGCTTTACTCAACGC